CTTTGATATTGTGACTTGACAGAACTCCTTGAAGTGCATGTGCTCAGGCTGACTTACAGGTGGTGGGGGTTTAGCTCAGCAGTATGCATGGAGTTCAGTTAGAGGCATGGAGGGGGAGAGGATAATTGCAAGATCAATACCTAAAGGAATTACAGGCAGCAGAAGAAAAGTAATTGAATATTAATCAAATGGGACTTTGTATACTTAATAGGAGTGATAATATATAAAAGCAGCTGTGGTTTGTTTTTTTTTAACATGACACTTTGGGCCGTAGGATCCATAGACTATTTTCAAAGAGCTGTGAGTGGTAACCAGGAAAAGCAAGATTTAATTTTGTTACATGCCCTTCTCCTGGAAAATTGTCACAGGACGTCAAATTAAAAGGGTCCAAAACTGTCACGACAGAGCAGTGCTTCCAGGCTGGGAAGGTGTGAGAATGCTCTGGGTGACATATGGGACTTGACCTGAGTATATAGGCTCTGCGAGACCTGACTGGCACTGTGTAAGGCTCCTGCGTTGCCTGTGCTGCTGCATCCAACTCTGGGGTCCCCAGGACAAAAAAGACATGGACCTGTTGGAGTTGGTCCAGATGAGGGGCACAAAAATGATCAGAGGGCTGGAGCACCGCTCCTGTGAAGAAAGTCTGAGAGAGTTGGGATTGTTCAGCCTGGAGAAGTCTCTGGGGAGACCTTATAGCTGCCTTTCACTATAAAAAGGGAGCTTATAAAAAAAGTAGGGAGAGACTTTTTACCAGAGCCTGTAGTGACAAGACAAGGGGCAATGGTTTTAAACTGGAAGAGGGTAGGTTTAGACTGAACATAAGGAAGAAACTTTTATGAGAATGGTGAGACAGTGGAACAGGTTGCCCAGAGAACTTGCGGATGCCTGGCATTGGAAGTGTTCAAGGGCAGGTTGGATGGGGCTTTGAGCAAGCTGGGCTAGTGGAAGGTGTCTCAGCCCATGGCAGGGGGCTTGGACTAGTTGACCTTTAAAGATGTGGCCAGCAGGTCGAGGGAGGTTCTCCTTCCTCTCTACACTGCCCTAGTGAGGCCTCATCTGGAGTACTGTGTCCAGTTCTGGGCTCCCCAGTTCAAGAAAGGTGAAGAGCTACTGGAGAGAGTCCAGTGGAGGACTACGAGGACGGTGAGGGGACTGGAGCATCTCTCCTATGAGGAAAGGCTGAGGGAGCTGGGCTTGTTCAGCCTGAAGAAGAGAAGGCTGCGAGGGGACCTTATAAATGCTTACAAATATCTGAAGGGTGGGTGTCAGCAGGATGGGGCCAAGCTCTTTTCAGTAGTGCCCAGTGACAGGACAAGGGGCAATGGGCACAAACTGAAGCACAGGAAGTTCCGTCTGAACATGAGGAAGAACTTCTTCCCTCTGAGGGTGACGGAGCACTGGAACAGGCTGCCCAGGGAGGTTGTGGAGTCTCCTTCTCTGGAGATATTCCAGACCTGCCTGGACAAGGTCCTGTGCAGCCTACTGTAGGTGACGCTGCTTGGGCAGGAGGGTTGGACTAGATGACCCACAGAGGTCCCTTCCAACCCCGAACATTCTGTGATTCTGTCCCTTCCAACCCAAACCATTTTGTGATTCTGTGATTCTAAATGCATCAGTCTGATGTTGTTGAATTCAGCCAGTCTTACTTCTGCATTTCCAGCACCAAAACCAAGGTAAAGATAACAGTAGCGTTGAGTGAAGATGCAGAGGGGCCAGCAGCAGCCAGGGTTTGAGGTGGAGGGGCAGCAGGCGAAGACCCTCAGCTGGCAGGGACTTGCAGGGGCCAGCACTGGGCTGAGGGGAGTGGGGAGTGGCTTAGGTTGGATGTTCGTTCCCTTGCCTGTGCAGTAGGTTATCCCGGCAGAGGGCATTCCCACACTGTCGGATGTGAGCTCGCACGACGTGCTGCAGGCCTTTGGGCAGTGTATCAGTGTGCTTTGAGTATAGCCGTTATCACACTTTGTACGCTGCGTCGTGTGTTACGTTTGGCGGTGGTGTTCAAAGCCCACGCAGATTCACAAAGGTTTAATTAGCGATAGGATGCGAGGGTGTGCATTTACTTTAGGTTCAATGGTGTAATTAGACAGAAATTGAGATTTGTGAATAATTTACAGAGTTTGATAGAGGAGGAATGAAAATTAAGTGGGGAAAGAAATAAGCTTGTATGTCTCAGTTCTGTGTTACTTTGAGTATTTTAAAGCAGTTTTGGCATAGTCTTGTTGATTGGGTGCTGCCTTGTAATGCTTTCAGACATTAATGTGTTACTTATTATGGAAATTAGATGTTAAACATTTTTCACAAATCAGACTTCATTTTTGCTTTCCTCAGTGGAGGGTAATATTGCTTATTCCATTGAAAAAGTACCAGTGGACTCCTCACCGCCCTTATATTTGTGTTCACACTATTTTTGGGACAGACTCTGGTATCATACCCTGTTCAGAGTGCTACTGGGATGGAGCAACTCAGAAATTCCGGAATTGCTTTCCTCTCTCTTTTTTGGGGTATCTTTCAAAGGGATGATTGTCATTCTAGGAACATCTCTTTATTGCCATCACTTTAGTGCTTGTCTGCTGAATTGCATGTCAGATCCTGCATGCGGTGCTCATGCTTACAGGTGTTGCTTGCAGGAGACAAATCTAAATTCTTGTTTTTCATTCCCCTATTGACTTAAGGCTTGTTTTGTGCTTCAGATCTTTTTTATAGAGCTGCTTATCTTTTGTGACTGGACGCTGAACCCATAGTGAACATTGTACAGTTGAAATGCAAATATTTTTCGTGTCAGCTAGTTTGGTTGATAATTACTGCAAAAAGCAGGGAAGCATGAAACCTAAGGCGGCTATTGCTCTTTATGCCTATGTCTGATTTAGTAAACCGTTAGTTTTTTTAGTTAAAAAATTAAGTTGAGGTGTGTCTGTTAATGTCAGGACCTGTTCTTTGGTGTGGAGGGCAGCTAGCACATTCTGGCTGCATCCACAGTAGGACACTTTCTCAGCATCTGCAATGGGCATCAGTACCCAAACTGGCTACTGAATGGTCTCTGCGCCGGGCTATATCTTGAGCTGAAAAGTTGTCTGGGAGGGTGCTAGCTGCCTGGAGTCAAAACTGTGCCGGGCATTGTCAGGTTCCAGTAGACGCTATAAGGTTCCTTACAGACACTGTGAGTTTCGAGTGCCTTGGAATCACAGAATCACAGAATAGTAGGGGTTGGAAGGGACCTCTGTGGGTCATCTAGTCCAACCCTCAAATGCCTGATACTGTCTAGTTTGCTAGTATAGATGCAGTTTGTGGATTCTAATCTATAACACATTCACCTTCTACTTATATACTTTTTGTTGAGTTGACTTTCTTTGATCACTGTGTTGGTGGAAGAGCTCTGCATCCATCCATCACAAGACGTGGTGCTTCAGTCTCTCCATCTTTATTGGTGCAGTGTTAATTAGGATTCACTCTACTAGAGTTCACCAACGTGTTACAGGAGGATAACAGCTGTAGGAGAGAATCTGTGCCATACGCACTCCACTAGCACTATTTTTTTGATTTTTTTTTTTTTCCTCTAACCCTGTATTCGTTGAAACGCATTCATAGATTATGGGGCTGTGATGAATATATTGTCTGTATAATACCACAGTTGCAGGGCACACCAGCCACTCTCCATTGTGCCTGTAACATCACTTAGAGATAGTGTTTTGTTTGTGTGAGGGTTTTGTGTGTGGATTTTTTAAAGGCACTGAATTAAAAACTTAATGTGGCATAGAAGCCACACCATTTCTAACCAGCATTCCCATGGTTATTGCTTTCCTTGTAATATCTTGGGCTTTGTTTCTCCTCAGGCTTCCTGTCTTTGTCTGCAGAAGGAATGACTCCATTCACCATTGGCATCTCCTCCCTGTATGAGAAGCTGTAGGCCATGACCAAGTTGTTGGGTTTTATTTGATCATGGATAAGCTGAATAGTCAGGGGTCAGCTGAAGTCTTTGCCCTTAGGTTTCTGTATTAGGTGCTCTGCAGGGCAGCAAACGTGCTGGTTTTCTAGTCCTTAACAGCCAGAAGGGCACTGAAGCCCACCAGGGCTGAGAAATCAGTCTTCTGGCTCAATGGTGAAAAGATTCATGCTGCTTTCTCCATCGGGTACCTACCTGGCTGGCCTTCTCTTCCCTCCCATCTCTCAGAACATCATACAGCTCTTTTTCAGCAGGCAGGGGTTTTTGCTGTCAAAGGAAAGTATCTGGAGCAGTGACCTCCCCAGTATTGCCGTAGTTGGTGAGTCAGAAAAATGGACGCTGGGTATCTGGCAATGAACTTCAATTCCATTAGGGAGCAGATTGTATAGAATCATAGAACGGCTTGGGTTGGAAGGGACCTTGTAAATCATCTCATTCCCACCCCCCTGCCATGGGCAAGGACACCTTCCACTAGACCAGGTTGCTCAAAGCCCCATCCAGCCTGACCTTGAATGCTGCCAGGAATGGGGCATCCACAGCTTCTCTGGGCAACCTGGGCCAGTGCCTCACCACCCTCATAGTAAAGCATTTCTTTCTTACATCTAATCTAAATCTGCCCTCCTTTAGTCTGAAGCCATTACCCCTTGTCCTGTCACTCCATGCCCTTCTAATGAGTCCCTCTCCAGCTCTCTTGTAGGCCCATTCAGGTACTGGAAGGCTGCTATAACGTCTCCCCGGAGCCTTCTGTTCTTCAGGCTGAACAGCCCCAACTCTCTCAACCTTTCCACACAGGAGAGGTGTTCCATCCCTCTGATCATTTTTGTGACCCTTCTCTGGACCCACTCCAAATTTTAATAACAGAATTAGAAGACCAGCAACAATGTTTGGGGATTCACTGTGCAGATAACAGGCGTTTACTAGGCTATGTATAAAGCTCCTTGGTAATACATGGTTTTCCACTTCAATTTCCAGAGTTAATGTTTCACAGCGCTTAAACTGCTACTTGCTGCTCATGTCTCCACTGTAAAGAACCTTACCCAGGCGGCATTTTTCATTGCAGGTTTCCAAGAAGTACAGCGAGATAGAGGAGCTCTACCAGAGACTGGCAGCACGGTATCCACAGGCTTGTCTTCCACTCTTGCCTAGAAAAGTTCTCTTCGTGGGGGAATCTGACATCTGTGAACGAAGAACTATGTTCAATGATATAATGAAATTCATCTCAAAAGATGAGGATCTAGCAACGAGTCCTGAGTTACTGGAATTTTTAGGTAACTAAAAGATGTGAGTGTCCCCTCTCCCATGAATGCACTCGATAAAAGCGTTATTAAGGTCTTGACTTGGGTAGAGAGAAAATAGAGAATGTCAGAATAAGGGCTGTCACTGAAAATATCCTCTTACGCATCCACAGTGCTGCACAGTGATGTTTGCTTGTGTTTTCTCCACTTCTCAGTGGACAAATGCCTCATTCAGAAGCATTGATACCACAATGCTCGCTTTCAAGGTATCCATCCCACCATCTCTTATTTCCCTTAGACATATACCTAAGCTATGATTTGGAACACAGCAGTTTAGAAGGCTAAATAATCATATATTGTCAGTGGAGAGGTGGACCCTAAAGAGCCAGTGCAGGGTCTCCCTTAGTGATCAGCTGTTACATGTTTTGTCTGTTTTTTATTCCTGATAAAATTGGTAGGCCTTGCTAAAGAGGGTCCTAAGCCAAATTATTGACCCTGAGAAAGATTTGAATGAAAGGCAGATTCTTTATTAGTTAAACCCATTCACTGGCTTTTTTTAAATTTTCCTTAAGCCTCATGTCCAGTTCTTGTTGCTGCCTCCAGTGATTCATATAGTACCTTTCTTATGTTTCTTCGGCACAGCAGGGAGTCATCGAATGCATGGAACAGGTGGACTCTCTGCTCTTAGTTCAGCTGAGAGCTGCTGAGCAGGCAATCCTCCAGCCTAGTGCTGTGCAGGGTTCTCAGTGTAGTGTTAGGTTTAAGGAAGTGAAGTTGCAAGGTGCTAGCAAGTCACAACGTGTGAACAGCAGATTTTGAAAGAGTG